CACCTGGCTGTCCTCGCTGGCTGTACCCCTTGGAGGGGGGTGGGTTGAGTTTCCCTCCCCACCCTGAGCAGAGCCCCCGCAGCCATAGACCTCCTGAACCAGTCACAACCATACTGAGACCACTCTCCACACGCATGAAGGTACCGGCAGAGGAACAGAGGCATGTGGGTCCTGGGGCTGAGATATCCAAGCCTGCTCGGATTGGGACTGAGCATCCTCCAGTTAGGTCCTCCATCTTCCAGTAGGCAGGGGTCACACCACCAACTGCCCCCCGGCAAACGAGACAGCATCCCTGATTCTTGAGCGTTGACAGAGTTTGGAACTCCAAATTCTTTCTCTCACTTGAGTGAAGCATGATACTCCAAGCATAGCTCTTTTGATTCCTCTTTGAGAGACCCGAATAGCGTTCTCATCAAGTTTGCCTAGGGCCCAGGTCTCTGAGGCATATGTTAATGCAGTAAGAACAGTGGAATCAAAGAGATGTGCTTGGAGCCGGAGGTTCTTTGTCCTCTTTGTTATTTCTTTGACACTCTGTGGTGAGAAGATATCTCATTGTTGTTTTGATTTGCATCTCCTTTATGATTAGTGACACAAAACATTTTTATGTGCCTTTTGGCCACTTATATTTCTTTTTGAGTAAGCTTCTGTTTATTTCTTCTCTCCATTTTTTGATGGGGTTGGAGGGTTTTTTTCTTGTACAATCTACTAGTGTCTTGTATATCCTGGATATTAACCCCTTATCAGATAGGTACTGGGTAAATATTCTTTCCATTCCTTGGGTGCTCTCTATTTTGATCACTGTTTCATTTCAGGTAAGGTGCAGAAGCTTCATAGTAGAATGTAGTCCTGATTGTTTATGTTTGTTTACACTTACTTGGTCACTGGTCTTTTATCCTTAAATATGCTTTTAGCTTCAATGTCACAAAGGGCTCTACCTACAATTTCCTCAAATATCAACAAAATAAGTTCAAAAAATCTGTCAGCAAATGGGAAAATGAAATGAATAGACACTTCTCAGAGAAAGACAGGTAGATGGTCACATGAGCACATGAAAAGAATGTTTCTTTGCATCACTTATCAACCCAGAAATCCAAATAAAGAAGACAATGAGACACCATCTAATACCAAAGACAATGACACACATCAAAATTAGTAGGAATAATTTGTGTTGGTAGGGATGTGGTGACAAGAAACTCTCGTCCACTGCTGATTGTCTGACATTAGTTTTCTCATTGTACGTAAGCTTCTCATCTGCCATACATAATTCTCAACCTTACTCTCTTTGACGTTTCTACCACTGTTTCTGTTTAGAGAAGAGTCATTTTCCAGATTACTTCAGTATTTCTTCTGATCTGATAAGTATGACGACCTTTGCAACATTGCTTTTCAGCAGTGAGAGAAGTAAAGACCAACTGGTTGTAGAGCCCAAATGTCTTCTTTTAAGTCTTCTATTCTATGCACTCTTCTTCCATATTATTCCACATTTTTCAGGCCTTAGGCCTACGTTCCCTAGGGACATCTCATGAAAATGTATTTTTCATACTTTATTTTTTCACTCTTAATAAAAATATTTTATTTAGTTTCTAAAATGTTGGGCTAATATACATTTTCATTCCAATTTAAATTAGAAAATAACTGTAAGGAAGGAACATATTGGACACTATGAAGTTGTTGGTGATAGTTTTCTCTCTCTGGATAAAGAGATAGATGATTGTAGTTATGTAAAAAAAGTGAATAATCAGAATAGTGCATGAATTATATTTATCTCTGGTTTAAGGAAAGGACTAGATAAGAACTGAGGGATGAGTTTTAGTATTTCCACTGTAGTATTTTTGCCTTATTTGATATTTTAAGCTCTACAAGAGAAGTGATATTTTAATTTTGAGCACATTCTCTAAACACAGAAATATTTGATATATAATTAAAATGTTCTAAATATAATAATATGTTTATTAGTAGGATACTAGTTTCATATTTGGGGTAGGGGTTCCCAAGCAGTGTTCAGAGTGTCCAAGGGTCATTACTATCTATAATCGATTTATTGAGCAAGATAGCTTAATTCTAGGACTTTAGAATGTGATTATGTTTGGATCTTATGGTATTTGGGACCACCAGAACCAAAATGCTGATACTACTGAGCCCACCAGGGCCACACATGGTAATCATAGTACTGTACAGTAGCACTATCATTCTGTTCTTTGTCAATTTGCTCTAGTGGGTGCCAGTAATGTCTCCATTCTTCCCAGACTTGGGATTTTAGCAGCCTCTCTTCTCGTCTTTCCCAACTTGCTGGAGGCTCTTTCAGGGTCAGGAGAATGAGACCCGACATTGTTACTATTTTTGGCATATCAAATACGACATGAATAGTTTGCCAGGCTCTGCCTATGGGATGATAATTCTAGCCTCTAGAATTACATCTGTTGGTACACAGTGATCCACACAGTATGGGGATCAAACATTAGTCCACGCTCATGAAATCTTGTGTCCTGACTCCTTTGTGAGTTCCTGGCACCTCACTGAATTTCTTAACTAAAGATAGTGTTGTGCAAAATCCCAGATATAAAAATCAGTTTTAATTCATATAAGTGTCTTTCCATTTATTATCATACATTCTTAATTTCTATTCACAGAGATTTACTAGAAGAGTCTGCAACAAAAAATTAACTGATGGAGTCAAATGATGAATTCAAGGTCATTACTTTGCCAGAATCCATGGGTTACATTGATCTTTTGTTGCTTGCTGCCTTACACAGAGAGAAAATATTATATAAAGTGTCACAACTAATGCTATGATTTCAATTCCTATAGAACGTCAACCTTCTTTCATTGCTCATTTCCTTGTAATCTCTAATGTCCAGATTTTGAAGAACCAATGAGTGAATAAGTGATAGGATATTATCCAAAACTGAATCAATTTTCCTCCTTGTTCTATTTCATTTCATCATTACTTGTTCTATTTCATTTCATCATTACCTGTTCTATAGTTTGGTACTAATTACATTTTTTTTTGTTACTCCAGGTCCAGGATCCTCATATCCAAAAATACCTTCTCATTTTTTTTCCTATTTAATCTAAAAATAACTTCTCAATATTTGGTCCCACTTAGCTGTATCTCTTAACATTTCCCACAATTATTCTACATTTCTCCTATCTTTATTTTTCCTATTTATTTTACAAGATTTCTCATTACTATCATTGAAATTAATATTCTAGAGTCTACATTTATTTGTTATGGTTTCAAATATTTAATTTTCTATTTAGTATACCATGGACATTTCAGTAAGATAATATATCTTCCATTACCAGTAGAGATCATTAGAGAGTATGTGACTTAAGGATCTTATAATATCTCCACATATTTAAGTGAATGTAAGCAGATTCATTTTATTACCAGGAAAATCACTGTCACTGTCACTATCCTCCTGTTGTTCATCGATTTGCTTGAGCGGGCCCAGTAACATCTCCATTGTGAGACTTGTTGTTACTGTGTTTGGCATATTGAATACATTTAAAAAATTATTAAATATAGAATAATATTATTTTAACATCTTGAAAAAAAGTAAGCTTGGTGATAAATAGTTTAAAATATTTAATAGCATTAAACACAGAAACCTCCTAAGAGTGATAAGAATAGCGTCAGAAAGAAGAATGTTATCATTGACTCTTCATTTCATGTTTTACTATTTTTATGATAACAAAATGCAATGTTAATTTCATTTACATATTCATTAGAACTCAAGTGTGTAATTCTGGGACTTTTATTCCAGTGACTTGAACAATACTACAGAAGCTAGGGTGTTGCCTTGTAAGCGGCTGACCCAAATTCGATATCTAGATTCCCATATGGTACTGCCTACACCTTTAGGAGTGATATCTCAGAGAAGAGACCAAAATAAACCCAAAGTATAGCCAGTTGTGACTCAAAACACGCACAATTTTTTTTCTTCCATCCTAGGAGACTTGGAAACAATTCTAAATGGATTATATTTAGAACACTTAATACATATATATGTATGAAACACTAAATATGGATTATAGTTCTTACCAATTCTCCCCAAACCTTAGAAAATTTAAAACATAAAAGCTATAAGACACTAGGTTATCAAGGACTAACTTGAGTTGTTAACTTTTATAAGAGAAACATAGTTCTGTGTATCTCTAATAATTAATTGCATGAGAATTTCTTCAACTCCAACCTTCCCTTCAAAACCCACCATTTTCTTTGTATGCTAACAAAACAACTAAGAGAGTTTTAGAATACATTTTTATTTGCTCGAGCGGGCCCAGTAACGTCTCCATTGGAGACTTTGTTGTTACTGTGTCTGGCATATTGAATACGTCACGGGGAGCTTGCCAGGCTCTGCCATGCGGGCGAGATACTCTCGGTAGCTTGCCGGGCTCTCCGAGAGGGGCGGAGGAATCGAACTCGGGTCGGTCATGTTGGCTGCGTGCAAGGCAAATGCCCTACCGCTGTGCTATCGCTCCAACCGATAGCACAGCGGTAAGGGCGTTTGCCTTGCACATTTTTATTGTTTAGTATAAATTATAATTTAGGTGGCATGTTTATAAATTTACAATAAATGTTAATATTTATGGTTTTGATGTTCACAGTTTCTATACCTTATAACTGCCAAAATACCAAGGACTCTCCACTAAGGTATTAATTTTGACTTCTAGGTTTTTTTAGATAAAGCTTTAGCTTTTTCCTTCATAAAACACAGAGTATCTAAACAGAACGGTAACCATATATTTATTGTCAGTATTCTTGAAAGAAATTCTTGCTGTGTAAAAAGAAAAATGAATTATTCCAATAGAAGCACTAAAGGATATTACCCCATATATTTTTCCATGTCCTTATTCTCTTTATGTCTATTCCTCATTGAACTGACTGAAATTATATCTATAGGACCTGATCTACTCATCTCTCAGGTACAGCTTTCTTAGAGAACACAGCTCTAAGAAACTCGGTCAAATTCAGCAGAGGTGCTGACCCTCCCTTCTTATGAAGAAAGTAGAGATTTGGCTTCTTGAGGGACATCTATATCATTACTGCTGACATTAGGTACAGATGTTTTTTGAGAAGAATTGAATTGATTTTCAGCATGATCTGAATCTTGGCATGTAATCACAGATATGACTGCACCCTGAAGGCTAAAATAAGGACGAAGGGTACCAAAGAAGGTGATTTTAGTGAAAGAATATATGTGAGAGCCATCATTCATATTGTAAAAGGACAGGTCCCCACCTTCATAGTCCAGGAAAACTCCAATCCTGCTAGGTTGCTGCCTCAGCAATAGGGACTCAGACTTGGAGGTGAAAACTTTGAATTTCCCATCTTCATAACCGAACACCCAGAAATTTCTATCTGGACTTTCTACAAACCACCCACTTCTCATCACTGTATCTGAGCAAACACCCAGAGCCCATCTTATTTCAGTGTTTTCTTCTGTCTTCACTTCTACCTCCCAATAATGTCTCCCATCTGTAAAGGAATTCTTTCCCAGAACACTGTATATGGTTTCCGATTCCTCTTGCAATTGTTCTGTGGAAATATCAGAACTCTGAGGAGCATTTTTCATTGAAACTTTTGTTTGATCATCAGATAAGCTGAGGTTGGAATGAGCTTTATCGGGATCCAGAGTAACAGCCACTGCAGGTGGTAGAAGGAAAAAATTAAGGTCATTCCACTATACATAGGTAATAGAAGAACACTTTCAAACAAAATCTTGTGTAACATTTTTCTAGATGGGATGAGACCATCTAAGAGAATTGTCTTATTTAAAATTCTTAAGGTTAATGGAATCTTGAGAATGATCTCAGTGTATTATTATGTCATCTGCAAATAGTGATATATTTTACTTATTTTGCTATCTGAATATCCTTTATTTCTTTTTTGAGGATAAATTCTCTGAATAAGGCCAAAATAACTATACTGAACTAATAATCAGAGCGAATATTATTTTTTTTAACTTGGAGGAAAATATTTTTTGTTTCACACTTTTTTTTTTCTTTTTGGGTTCACACACGGCGATGCACAGGGGTTATTCCTGGATCTGCAGTCAGGAATTACTCCTAGCGGTGCTCGGGGGACCCTATGGGATGCTGGGGATAGAAGCCGGGTTGGGCACATGCAAGGCAAACACCCTATTCGTGCTATTGCTCCAGTCCCCTGGTTTTACACTACTGAGTATAATTTAGTATTAATCTGCCATGTAGTATTAATCTTTTACAATACTTAGCTATGTTCTTTCTAACTCCATTTGTTGAGAGCTTTAATCACAATATAATGTGAATCTTGTCAAAACCTGTTCTAAATATATTGATATAGTTATATACTTTTAAATTTCCTTTTGTTTATGCTATTCATTGCATTAATTTATTTTCTTATGTTCAGTAATCCTTTGAATATCTGAAATTCATTCCCATATACTAATGATGTATAATTCTCTTAACCTATTGTTGATATATATTTGCTGAGATTTTAATCAAGATTTCTATTTATGTTCATTCATCAAACATCTGGACTAAAATTTTCTTTGCATGTATGTGCTGTTTCTCTGGTTTTTTTAATCATACAAATGAAAACACATGCTACAGAACAGGAGAAAATATTCACACACCATATGTCGTATAATTGGCAAGATATTCAAGACACATAAGGAGCTCACAAAATAATATATATATATAAACATATACATATACGCTTCAAAAATAAGATGAGTAACTGACCAGATACTTCACAAACTGAGACAGATAGATAATAAGCATATGATATAAGGTTCATTATCACTTGATACAGGGAAAATGTGAAACAAAATGACAAGAATAAGCAAGATTCCATCTTTTCTTATCACTGAATAGAATTCCATTGTGTATATATACCACAATTTCTTTATCCACTAATTGTTGGCCATTTGATTCTTTATTTTTCTTTCTAATGTAACTATTCTAATAGTCATATTGTAAATATTGGATTTCAATAAACGTAGGTGTGTATATATATATCATTTTAATTAGTGTTTTATCTTCTTGTGATTGACATCTACGAGCATAGTTGCTGGGATTTTATATGAATATTTTATTTATTTAATTTATATTTTTGTTTCATTTAGGATCACACCAAGTGGTGCTCAGACTTACTTCTGGCTCTGTGCTCAGGTTTCACTCCTAGCAGCCTAGCCTTAGGGAACCACATGGGAAGCTGGGGATCAAACCCAAGTCAGCCACATGTAAGACAAGCGTCCTGCCTGCTATACTATCTCTCTAGTCTCTGTTTTTATATTTTGAGTATTCTATTTTTCCCAAATATCTTTAAGCAGGTTACTTTCCACCACAGGGAATGAATATTCCTTTTTATTCAATCCCTCCCCCCCGGTATTTACTGTTTCGGGTCTTTTTGATGCAGGCTATTCTCACTTTTTTATATATAATTTTTAATTAATTACTTAATTAATTTTGAGTCACCGTGATATAGTTACAAAGTGGATCATGGTCAGGTTTCAGTCATACAGTGTTCCAACAAACATCCATCCTTCCAGTGTATGTTTCCCACCATCAATGTTTCCAGTTCTCTCCTGCCACCATCTCTCCATCCTGTCTCCATGGCAGACAATTTTCGTCTTTCTCTCTCTCTCTGCCTCTCTCTCTTTCTCTCTTTCTGTTAGTCTCTCAGTATCTCTCTCCTTTGGGGCATTATGTTTGCAATATAGGTATTGAGTGGACCAAAAATGGGGAGAGGAAATGGACAAAAACATTTTCAAAAAAGAAATGCAAATTGCCAAAAGACACATAAAACAAATGCTCTATATCATTAATCATCAGAGAGATGCAGGTCAAAACAATGAGATCCCATCTCACACCACAAAGACTGGCACACATCAAAAATAAGAGTAACCAATGCTGACATTGATGCAGGGAGAAAGGGACTCTTCTTCATTGTTGGTGGGAATGCTAACTGGTCCAGCCTTTTGGGAAAACAATATGGACATTGCTCAAAAAACTAGAAATTGAGCTTCCATACCATTCCAGCAATACCACTCCTGGGAACGTACTTTGAGGGCCCAAAAACACACAGCAGAATTGCTATCTCTACTTCTATGTTCATTGTAGCACTATTCACAATAGCCAGAGTCTGAAAACAACCTGAGTGCTATAGAACAGGTGACTGGTTAAAGAAACTATGATATATCTACATAATGAAATACTATGGAGATGTTAGGAAAAATTTATAAAATATATAAGAAGTTATAAAACTTGCTTCTAAATGAAGTTATGAAACTTGCTTTTAAATCATGGTGAGTGAAATGAGTCAGAAGGAGAGGGATAGACATAGAATGAGTGGGTTTATTTGTTAGAAATTTTTAAAAAAGCATACTATGAGATAAATATAATAGAAACAAGGACAGTAGAAATAAGGACCAGGAGGATTGTTCCATGGTTGAAAGCTTACTTCAAATGCTGGAGAAGGCCCTTGGGATAAAGAAGGGACCACAAAGATAGTTGAAAATTATCGCTCTGGACAAGAACTGTGTGCTGTTCTTACTTTTATGAGGTGAAAAGTCACTGCTATTTTGATTTCCCTAGTAATCATTGATGAAAGCAGTTTATGAAATGGGTGTTTCCTTTGGGAAAGTTTCTGTTCATTTTCTCACATAATTTTTTAAGTGCTAAAGGCATAACCAGTGGTGATTGGGGGTTACTCTTGCTCTATGCTTAGGGGTCACTCCTTATGATGCTCAAGGGATTGTGTACTGCCAAGAATCAAGATCGTATGCTGGCCACAAATGCAACACAATCGCTGTACTATCTCTTTAGCCTTCATTCCCATTTCCCCTGGATGTTTTTGTTGAGTTTTGTGAATTTCTGGCATATCTTAGATATTAGATTTTTGCCAGAGTGTGTACTTATTTTCCCATTCATAAGGGTGTACTTTGGTTTTGGAATAATACTTTGCCTATCATTCTTCAGCTCTTCCAAAAGTAAATAAAAAGTTTATTTTTAAAAATTTGGGCTGGAGCGATAGCACAGTCGGTAGGACGTTTACCTTACACGCAGCCAACATGGCTGACCCGAGTTCGATTCCTCTGCCCCTCTCCGAGAGCCTGGCAAGCTACCGAGAGTATCTCGCCCACACGGCAAAGCCTGGCAAGCTACCTGTGATGTATTTGATATGCCAGACACAGTAACAAGTCTCACAATGTTACTGGGCCCACTCGAGCAAATTGATGAACAATGGGAGGACCATGACCATGTGACCGTTATAAAAATTTAAGTCACACTTTATTTATTGATTTTATATAATCATAATATTTTAACTTAGGACAGTTTGGTAAGTAGACAAAATTATATATCAACAACTTAGCATTATGATTTGTCTATGATGAACACTTCATAAATTTTACCTTCCAATAGTTGTATAGTAATGACAATACTAGTAGTTGCATTAGTACTAATAATGATTAATATATTTCTTGTTTAAAAACAGGTTTAATAATTATTTTTAGTAGCAATTTTATGTAGGACATTAAACTTTGTTTTTGGAAGATTAAAAAAACTAGTATATGTGTGTGCATGCAGGGATAGTCAGAGTAAGTAGCATAAATTAAAAAATAATAATCAATTTAAGACTGAAAACTCTTAGACTAGGGGTCATTTCCCTCTCACACTAAAATATAACAGGTTCTTCTCTTTCTCAGATTATTCTTGCAATAGACATAATTTTAACACAATGATTTGTATAATATAATTTATTTATTATACATTTATTTATTATACAATTTATTTTAATAAATCTACTATGTAAATTAAATGTCTGATTACGCATCAATTTTAAAAAGAAATTCCTATTCTCCACCAGTTTTTTCTTATGGAAATATTAAAATTTTAATAATGCCCACCTGCTTTGAACTGTTCCTTTCTCCAGTCTAAAATGAAAAAAAACACAGATAAATAAGACAATAGTGATGTTAATATGCTTAACCTCATATCCCTGTGGTATTTTCAGACTCCAAATTGGAAAAAAACACAGAAAATGGCACATTTCTTAAAAATGCATCAAATGGCGGGGGTAATGGTGCCACCAGTAGGTTAACCTGTAACTGTGAGGTGAGTGCATCAGCAGCCTGATGACGCCTTCAGACTTCCAGATACCCCAAAATTGCTGCTGTGCCTTTGGCCAGACCCCAACAACTTGGAGCAAAGTTTACCAAGAAAGTAAACAGCCAAAATTTAGGTATGTGGGAAACACACCCACAAAGCACCTTCGGCATAGCTATATAATCGGAGGCATGGCCTCTCTGGTTCCTGATTGACCAGCTTAATGACCATGATCCCAGAGACTCAGAAACAAATCTCTAAACCCAGCGGCTTTTGGCAGAAATGCATCTGGTCCCTGCAGTAGGTTACCAGTGCTGGGCCAACCCATGTGGGAATAGGTTTTGTGCCTTGACCTGTTCTCCCTGGCAGCCCGGTGGCCACCATCCTCCAAAGGCTACTGGACAGACAGGTTTGGGCCCGCACTGACGAGACATTTTGGGCCTCACGGGATGGGGGTGTAGCCAGTCCTGTCCTCTCCATCCCAACAAGACCCCAAGTCATCACCCACGAATGGCCTCTCTGGCTCCTGATCAAGCTGCTTAACGGTCATGATCCCAGAGACTCAGGAGAAAATCTCGGAAACCAGCAGGTTTTGGCAGAAATCCCTCCTGATTTAAGTGTTAGAATTTCGGAATTTCAAAATTGCACATCCACTACTGCAGCCACGCGACATCATTCATAACCAGCAATAGAAAACAAATTGTCTACTGTTGCCTTTTCAGAAGATCTGAGTGTTGTAGTAAAATCTCAAATAATAATGGTGGGTCTGGTGTCAAAATATTGAATGTGATCAAAGTAGAGAGAGAGTAATGTGGAAATCATCTACCCCACAGGTAGGGGGAGGGTGAGGGATGGGGGGATACTGGGGTTATTGGGGGTGGAGAATGGGCACTGGTGAAGGTACGGGTGTTTCACTGTATGATCGAGACTTAGACTCCAAAGCTTTGTAACTGCTCTCACAGTGATCCAATAAATAAAATTATAAAAAATGGAAAAAAAAAGTAAGGTGTAGTTCATGCACAATTCAATCAGTTAATCAGTGGCTGAATAAATAGCATTACTCCTACATAAGAAAATGCATAAAATGGGACTCATAAAAACATAGAATTCTCTAAACCTGCAGACTAAATTGTTGTTACTTACCAGCATATAACTGTGCTTTTCTCCAATCTGAAAAAGAACAAAGAAATTAGATTTTCTGTTCATGAATTTTTCAACCACTTTAGAGGATTAAATTGCTGCAACCACATGAAATCTGAAGGTTTATAACAGTGTTATGTTTGTGTATTTATCACCTCAGTGAATATTCTGGATGCTTCTCTTATTTTATATCTACTATCACTGGAGTGATAGTGGAGCAAGTAGGGTGTTTGCCTTGCACGCAGCCGACCTAGGTTCGATTCCTCTGCCCCTCTCGGAGAGTCAAGGCAAGCTACCGAGAGTATACCGCCTGCATGGCAGAACCTGGCAAGCTCCTCGTGGTATGATATGCCAAAAACATTAACAACAAGTCTCACAATGGAGACATTACTGGTGCCTGCTCGAGCAAATTGATGAACCATGGGATGGCAGTGCTACCGTGCTACTATTTCTTACGTTTTCCACTTTCCACTAATATGTCTGTGGTAAAATACGAGGAATTGTTTTTTAGGAGGAAATATAAGAGAGGCTCAAATTGGGATATTGTATAATAAAACCACATATTTCAGTGTGAGTTAACAGCTCTTATAAGTTTCCTTCTCTCAGCACAAAAGCACTCTAATTAGCAGAAGAAATATTGCACTTGGCTAATTTCCCTATTAACAAAATAATAGGAATCCCACATGGTCCTCAGCCTAACAGACTTAAATTTCCTATTAATTATAAAACTTCAAACAAATTAATTACATACTTTCTCAGAAAAAGAGATAACTCATCTTTTTACAATATACCTTTGACATCCCAAGTGCAACTCTCATGCATCTTTAATGTCTTTAATGTCTATAGAATCACCTTCTCTAGAATGTAAGCAGAATTGACAAGCAAATCATGTAATGACCCTGTGGTCAGTCTCACATGTCCACTACTGAGTTTCGTGTGTGTGTATGACCATCTTATTGCATTTATAGGAAGGGATCCCTTGCTTACTAGCAGATTAATAGGAAGTGATTAGAAGAAAGGTAACAAAGATGGTTGACACAGCCATATCATCAACATAACTCACCCTGCTGATATAACTCTTTCCTTTGTACTGAAAAGTAAAAAAAAGTTGGTAAGATGCCAGATACATGCTGGGGAGTAAGGATTATCTTTCTTCTATTAGAGCAAAGAAAATGGAAGACTTACAAAGCTGTTTCTCAAGTGATTCTGAAAATGAAAAAAAAAAATATATATAAGGTTTATTTTCTAGACTGTAAATTGTAGAACATAATTTTCATATACCTAGATCAAGAATTTTACCTAAATTTAAAATCACTTTGACCATATCCCCTTAATTTCATTTTTATCCAGTGTGTTTTTCTATCTAACACACTCTTTGATCACAATCACGATCACGACCATTCTGTTGTTCGTCGATTGCCTCGAGCAGGCCCCAGTAACGTCTCCTTCATCCTAGCCCTGAGATTTTCATTAAAGTGCCATATCAAAGCTCATTCAGGGTTAGGAGAATGAGACCCATCATTGTTACTGGTGTTTGGCATATTGGTTATGCCACAGGGAGTTTGCCAGACTCTGCCGTGTGGGCAGGTTACATTCAGTAGCCTGCCAGTTTGTCCAAAATAAGAATGAGATAATATGATAATAAGCTTCCGGGAGCTGGGTTTTATAGTCTCTGGGTCTTGACCGTTGATGGGATTACACGGCCAGGGGACCAGTTGGTGGGTGTGACCCCTGCCTACTGGAATATGGAGGATATGGGTGAAGGAGGCCCAGTCCTGATCCGGCTTGGAGATCTCAGCCCCAGGACCCACATGCCTTTGTTCCTCTGCCAGTACCTTCATGCCTGTGGAGAGTGGTCTCAGCAATCTTTGATATTATCTAATAAAGGTGGATTTTATATTTCATTTCAATATTATACATGTAAATATCTTCTAAAAGTTATCCATATGCACAATAATGTAACTAATACATGAATTCATATTTCTATTTTACCTCTCTTTTGTGTTTCTTTGTTTTTTTCTTCCTGGATATTACGTGTTTTCTTATTTTCCTGTTGTCTTTTCCAGGCCAGGAGCAAAACAGAACACACGAAAATTCCAAGAAGGAAAAATGTCACAGCAAATGCTGCCTTCCATGGAGAGGACCTAGGGAAAAAGGGCTCTGACCCAGAACCCACAAGACTGATCAAAGTTACACAGCAGATCATAAACATTCCCTCATTGCTCCTGTCCTGTACTCCAAATTAACAACACTGACCTGGAATAGAAATGGTTTCCACCTGCTCTTGTCCAAAGAAGGGGTTCTTCAAGGAGCAAGACACCTCTCTGTTTGAGGAGTCTTCAACAATGATGGATGCCTGTATATTGTACAACCCATCTTCATCTTTGGTCTCCTCCTCAGAGAGGGATGGCATTTTCTCTCCTCTTGCATTGTTCCATTGTACCTCAGGTTGGGGAAACCACCCTTTGCCTGTACATCTCAGCCTTATTCCTTTATCTTCTGGACTTACAATAGAAACATGAGGTCCAGAACCCAGACCTGGAGGGGAAAATCATTCATCTGAGATTTGGTTACATTTTGTCCTTAAGTCCCTAATATTACACAGGAGTACCAACATCAAATGATAGATGAAGTACCATGCTATGAGTGAAACAAGATTTCTTTTTTTATCCTATGAAGTAAATACATACCTATGCTTCAAAAGCCACAAAAGACTTGAAGATAATAAAAGAACATATTGATGACTTTCACATCTTCTTTACCAAGAAATATTTGTAATTGATATAAAGAGACAATAGGATGAGACAAAAATTGGAAAAGTTGAATCATTTGAGAACACCATATATATTTGAATGACCTATATCTGTGTCTATTTATTCTGTTTATCTGAGTCTCAATAAAAGGAATAATTTTGTTTAAATTGATAATTATTTCCATAACATTTTTCTTTTAAATTTCTCCCAAATTTTCTTATTTTCCTATAATTGAGAATATATTAGAAGTGGGGATTATAGTTATGGAATTCATCATGGAGCCAAGGTAATCTTTTTCCTATTTGTTTACAAACATTTCAACTTAAATCTCAGAAGAGATCAACAAACTGCACAGATCACTCCAGACCCTATGCCAGGCTGAGTTTCATTCAGGGCATCCTAGAGGAGGGCAAGTGAGCCCACTGCATGTTCAAACGGTGCACTGGCAGCCAGAAACATTAATAATCCAGTTTATGCCATGCTTATGGCTGGACTCCACAGACCTGAGATGAGCCTCATCCAGGAACAAATCTGTAGAAAAATCTAGGTATGCAGGTTTTGTGACTGAAATCTCCAGCTCTCAAGGAGTTGGGGATAACCACCTGCACCCATCTCCCTGTTCTGGGAGCCTGCCAGTCATGACCATGAACTTCATTTGGAGCCATAATCTTATTAATTAACCATAATCCAGAGACACATACATAAATTTTAAAAGAGATCAAAAAGTTGCAGAGATTCCCCTAGACCCCAAAGTCACCATCGAGTTAAAAATTTAACTCCAGCTGTATCACCAAATCCAAATTTTTAGTATTCCTGAAACAACATCTCACAATCTACACTACTTATATACCAGGAGTAGCACACCACATTGGAATTGTAAAGTAAAGTAAAGTAAAGGCCCTCCCGTTGATCGTCAATTTGCTCGAGCGGGCCCAGTAACGTCTCCATTGGAGACTTTGTTGTTACTGTGTCTGGCATATCGAATACTCTCGGTAGCTTGCCGGGCTCTCAGAGAGGGGCGGAGGAATCGAACTCGGGTCGGCCATGTTGGCTGCGTGCAAGGCAGACGCCCTACCCGCTGTGCTATTGAATGGGAGGTAAAGTAGAAGGCAACTAATCTCAATAAAGAAAATATTAACACACAAGGGATAACTTGTAACAATATGTTAGTTAATTCTTATAAATGGGCTTAATTTCTCCATGGTGAGATACAAGAATCTTCACGCACTTTCTTCTAAGAAAATCTTTTTTGATCATTTTAGTGAATTATTTATAACAAGCAATACAAAATAAACTATTCAGGGCCTGCTAGTGGGGCAAGCTTGGATGGTGATTGAAATAATTGGAAATAATGGTGGTAGGAATATGTAATGGTGGTGGGATTGATGTCGGAATATTGAATGTAATAAATCATAGTGGACAACTTAATAAAAATAACATTAAAAATAAAGATGATTATATTCCATTCTATTTAGTTTTTTCTTCAAGCCTATTCTCTGCAACTCTGCAGTCAGATTCTTCCATGATTCTCACTAGCACTTACTTACATCAAAACATCAAAACATTCCATCACCAGAATGTTATAACTATCTGCTTTTACAGAGTAATAAAGAACATGACTTTTGAGACATTTTAAAAAGTTGGTATCATAGGCAATAGAGATAATACAGGGGTTAAGATATACAGCCAATCCCTGTTTTGTTCCTAGCACCACAGCTACCACTGGCCATGGAGTCTTAAGAGTATTACTGGGGTGGCATTAGAGACTGTCAGGCATTCCAGAGCCTGAGGAACACTATATCCTATTAAACTACTAGGGAAGTTGCCTTATAATAACTGGGAAGGGTCTACATAATGCCTCATCACTGCTTGTAGAGACCTCCTGCCAAAACAAAATAAGCAAAACCATTAATATAACAGGGTATGGATCTATTGTATCTAGTTATCATTTTTTTAATCAAACCTAGTTGTGTTCAAATTTACTCATGACTTTTCACTCAGGTATCACTATTGATAGTGCTTGAAGGACCATGTCCACCGTCAGGGATCAAACCAGAATGAGCTACATGCATGGCAAAAAATTAATCCCTGTCTTTCTCTATAGCCCAAATAATACAGTGAGGTGTTCTCTTTCCCTTTCTTTTCTTTTCTTTTCTTTTCTTTTCTTTTCTTTTCTTTTCTTTTCCTTCTTTCCTTTTTTTTGTGGGGTATGCACATCTCTCAAAGCTCAGGGATCTCTTTTACTAGGTCTGTTGTGATCAGAAGTGGGCCCTGAAAAAACACTCAGAAGACCATATGAGTATTTGAATCATAGTCACAGATGCTATAGGGAATGCAAAGCAAGTGACTTGCTTCCTGTACTATCTCTTCGGTAGTATCATCTGATTCAGTATTACCCTATTTCTAGAGATAAAACATACATTAAGAATATGAGAATTATATTATTATTATCAAATCCTGATCTGTTTTGGAGTACTAAAACTTTTGAAAAACAGAAAGCAGTGTGAATGACAGTTTATCGTCTTTGAATTCTCTGAGAGATACTAATATTTTTGAACCAAGTAAACAAATATAAATGATTAAACTAACTTCTGAGGGAAAATAAACCACACAAAAACCTAGCAAATAATAAGTAGTGAATAAATTATACTTGCATCTTTTGGGGTATTATAATCAATGATCAGACAACATATTTACTAATGTTGATAAATAGAAACAAAAAAGAGTGCCATTCTAAACATAGAGTTGTATTGAACAAAGGTTAACTGAATTAAAAATTAATGTGGAAATGAAATTATCTAGCTACTTATTAAGGTTGAGTTTGTTTTTACAATTATCAGTTAACAATCTATATTAACTCTAATTTCCATGAGGTTATGTCTAGTACTGTAAAAATTTTTATCTTAAAGTCGGTTACAAATTTGGAACTACATAAGATATTTTTTTCCTGTTCGACTATACCCAGTTGAGCCCAGGGCTTACTGCTAGTGATGCTTGGGGGGGGAGGGGGAGGCAGATGTTGTGCACAGGGGAGAGAATTGGGGTTTACACGAAAAACAAATTCTCTCCCTCCTATACTGTCTCTCAGGCCCTAGTACCTCTGTTAAAAATTGTCTATTTATACTTTACTTGGGGCTGGAGCGATAGCACAGCAGTAGGGCATTTGTCTTGCACACAGCCAACATGGCTGACCCGAGTTCGATTCCTCCGCCCCTCTCGGAGAGCCTGGCAAGCTACCAAGAGTATCTCGCCCACACGGCAGAGTCTGGCAAGCTACCCGTAATGTATTCGATATGCCAAACACAGTAACAACAAAGTCTTCAATTGGAGACGTTACTGGGCCTGCTCGAGCAAACCGATGAACAACAGGAGGACAGTGACAGTGAATATTTTACTTAGTCACTATATATCGAATCTTTTCTTAACAAATATTGTGATGACGACTTCTTTTTTCTATAACACAAGTTCATACGGGTAAAACCCTCAGAGTGACATCCTCACGCATTTAATTTCATATCCTGAGCTTTTACCCATCACAGTAGTGACTCAAATACCGATATTTGAGGAGATGTTTTGGTAATAATGATACATTCTTTCAAGACACATTGTGAGTGACACAAGTGGGCAATAAGTGATATATTTTATGGTAGATAGCTATAAAAAGAGATTTAATTTAAGATTAAAGCATGATAAATTTATATAGAAATTGAAAATTCAGGGTACAATTTTCTTTCTTTGATATTGACCAGTTCCTAGATACCTGCCTTTCTTTTTGTTTCCTATTTACTAATCTCTCCTCAAATCAACTATAGGACACGACATTACTCTTAGAGTGATCTTCATTTGAAACTAATTACTTACCTATTACCTTTAACTCCAAAGTGGCTTCTTCAAAATCATTTCCTTTTTTAAATAAGCACTTATAAATCCCATTGTCTGAGACCCGAAGACTGTAGATTCTCACAGCTACTCTTCCCTCAGTGATGTAATCTTTTACTAATTCTGTTCTTCCCTTATAATCTACTACTTGTTCTTCCACCTGCTCCATTCCATCCTGATACACATACACAGTCTCTGAGATCTGGGACCGAAACCACCGCAGCTCCATGTTCTCCACACTCATGGCTGGTGACACACGACAGGGTAGAACTGTTTCTGCACCCAACATAGCCACAATAGGTTCTGAAGGTCCAACCACCAGGAAGGAATCTATGGAATAGATCGACAAATGTAAATAGCATAAGTGTGACTTTTCTGGTCATTTCACACTACAGTATCAATGCTGATGCAATAGAGTCCATAGTGTTTCCTCATTCACATTGCACATATTTGCAACATGTACTCAAGGTAAATATGATAAAAGACTGAAACAATTCTTCCTTATCAATGAAACAGACTCATGTTTTAAAAATAACTTTTAATTTCAATATTGGTAATTATATGAAGAAGAAAGTAATATTGGTAATGATGAAGTTAAAGTTTTAAGATAGAACTGGAAATATCATATAGCAAGGAGGAGACTTGACTTGCATGTGTGCAATGGAGGTTCAATTCTCTGCACTCTATATGATCTCCCAAGTCCACCAAGAGTGATACTTGAATATAGATATACGGGTATCTAACCCTGAGCACTACCAGGTATGGTCCCAAATGTAACCTTCAAAATTTTTTAATTAGATATTGAAAAAAAAGATTGCTTATATTATTGATACTTTAATGAATTAGAAATTATTAATGAAGCAATCCTACATAATCTTATTCTTTAATCATATAGTAACTAATTTACTTTTGTGTATATCACTGTATCACTGTCATCCCGTTGTTCATCGATTTCCTTGAGCAGGCACCAGTAATATCTCCATTCGTTCTAGTCCTGAAACTTTAGCAAGTTCCACCTTGGAGGCTCTTTCAGGGTTAGGGGAATTAGACCCATCATTGTTACTGGGTTTTGGCATATTGAATACGCCATGGGGATCTTGCCAGGCTTTGCAGTGTGGTTTATGGAAAAATAAAATCATTACACAAAGATTAAAAGATTTAAAATCAACTGATGCATGTACAGCAAATTATGAGTGACAATCATTCTATTCAGATAACAAAAGTATTGAAATATAAAGTATTCTTACCTGATCTCCATATGGTCACCTGAAGAAGCAAAATAGTGAAGAGGTCTCTTGACAAAGAGAAATCCATGGAATACATCTTTCTCAGAGTAGAAAGTATCACGTAGAGGCAAGTTCTGAAATTAGCTTTATGAAAGACATAATTGAATCTACAGATTAAATGTTATCAGTAAGGATGTTCACAGCATTTCAGAAATGGTATCCTAAAGCTCTTAAACATCCTTAGCTTTTCTTTCAAGAATCAGTAGTAATTCATTTGCACTCACAAAAAAAATGATTATTCTCTTTTCCAAGAAAACAGTTATATCTCAATAGGTCCATTCTGAGATAAACCCATCTACCGTATTACTAAAATACATTCTTAAATAAGAATCATTAGAATGGAGGAAGATAATTACAGGAGGCTATAAGTATTTGCTGTGAAAGATAACTTTAACAAATACACTATTCTGATTTCAGAAAACTTTCTCAGCACATTACCATGTGATGAAGGCACAGCTAAAATCTGACTTGTATTCTCTTAGTGCTCATATCCTTGTCCACTTTTCCTCACTTTCTTCTTTACTCATCACACCAAAATGCAATACTCACATTGTTTAGGTCCTTATTACCGAGATGAAGGCATTGTGAAGCTCCTCATCTTTCTTCCAATACCAGTAATGGTCTCTAATTACCAGCTGTTGAGTGTACAAATGTCCATTCTTTGATATTTTTTCTCATATGTCAAAATAACATCAGATTTTAGAAAATGTGAGATCTTAGAAAGTCTCTTAAATTTTCATAAAATTTAAAGAAAAATGAATCCTTTTACAAGAACCTTTTAGCACTTTGGCCACCCTTTCATGCTCAAAACAGGAAGTAAAACATGGTTAGAAAAGAAACCTTTGACCTAGCAAGGACAATAAAATTCATCTAATAATTAAATATATGCAAGGTATAGGAAGGATTCAAACTAAGTGAAGCTTTTCTTTCTGAGACATTAAAATGTCTGCTTAAAATTATTATTGAGGTTAATAATATAGCTATTAGAAATTTAAAGAGTTAAAATCCTTGTCAAACACTTTTTAAGTGGGTTTTAGTTTTCTAAAACCCATAGATATCTACAGGTTTTAGATTTCTCATTTGACAATGGGTTTGATATTAGTATCTACCATAATTTTTGCATGAGAAATATGTGATTAATGTATGCAAAATACTAAGCATTGTCCAAAACTTATCAATTATTTACTATCATCCCATATAGGTTAATGTATCTTTTAGTGAGGCCAGAAAGAAATTTTATTTAATTAGAGAAATGTGAGAGAAAAGAAATAGTGATATGTGTTTAAGAGAGAACATGGATTTTTCCAGAGTGGAAAAAAATCAACAATATCTTAATTTCCTGTTCAACTCACCTCAATATATCTACTATTTTGATGATGACTAATCTGCCTGCCACACAGCCCCTTATTACACTGTATAGGAATTTGAAATTACATTAGTTCATTCATACTTTCAAACTTTCATTCCCCAGACAAGGAAATTTCCTCCTCACTTGTAATATCTTTAGAGACCAAGATAAATAAAAATTAGTATAAAATTACTGTGTCAATTTTTCTATTTAAAATCCCAAGTATGTTCTACCCAATTTACTGAATATTAGAGCCCAAGTGATACTGAGAGCATTGCTCAGGGAAAGGAGTACCAGCAGAGTGTGAAAATCTAATGGAAAGAGGAGGATGTACAAAGGTAGAGAGCTCAGCTTTGTGGGTTGAAACTTAGAATTATCAACACACCTGAATATCATAAAGATGATTTCACCTGCCGGAATATCATGATTTCAGCTTTTGGCAAGTGGAAGCAGTAAATACACTAAAAATTTCTGACAGAAACTTTTTCAAGTTTGTATTATTATACGACTTAGCATAGTTCAAAGTCCTCTGATAAAGCTTTATTACTTCCACTTTCTAACTGGAAGAGTTAGATACAAGCTGTGATTTTCTTATTGAATTTAAGCTAAAATGGATTTATATCACCTGGCTAGCAATCCCACTTGTTTCCCTTCTTAAGAATATTTTCTCTGACCAGGGATTAATTAGAAGCATGTCACTTCCAGTCTCTGTCTGCAGTCAAAATTGGTACTCTGATCATGGAACAGTCAGGTGTAAATTGTCTCTGGAGCTGGGTTTTATAGGTGTTCTACAGAAACGAGAACCTTAAAAGAAATCACTCTAAGACTGTTCAATGTATATGGTGATGTGGCATGTGATGGGGGACATGTGGTCCCTGAAAAGGAAGGATGCAAAATCAGAGACATTTGAGTAGAAAATAACCTTCCATTTTGGAAGTTATGGTTCTGAATAAGTAGAAATATATAATTAAGAATATGTATTAATGCATAATTGAGCTAATGGATGGACATAAAAAGATAATAATAAGTTTAGAGGATTGGACTATCTTTAATCATTTATCATTAATGTTTCCAATTTCAAGAGAAACCTGATTAAAGGGTGAATCTGTAAATAAATAAAAAGTCTACAGAATAAAGAGAATAGTTTATGTATTTTATACCCATTGCTGTTTTTCTAGAAGAAGAAATAGAAAATCCATGTAGGAAATACTAAAAGTCAATGGTGTTTACACTAGGATCACAATCACGATCATCCTATTGTTCATCAATTGCCTCAAGCAGGCACCAGTAGCATCTCCTTCGTCCTAGCCCTGAGATTTTAAAAAGTGCCATATTCAATGCTCTTTCAGGGTTAGGAGAATGAGACCCAGACACTAGGATCTATGAAGAAAATAGGCCAAATATAATTATTTTCAAATTTAGGGGGCCAATATGGTCATGCTTGGGGCATACTCTTGACTCTATGCTTATATATCACTCCAAGCAGAATTTGGAAAACCCTATGGGGATCCAGGAATTGAAGCTAGGTTGGCCACATGGAAGGCAAGCACCCTACCCACCGTACTATCTCTCCTGCTTCGAAGTGTGATTTTCAAAGATTATTTTAGGTGTCATGGTTTACAATAGTGTTAATGGTAAGGTTTTGAGCATAACACAATCTAGCACCACATCTTCTACCACAGCTTCCACCTTCACTTCCTTACACCATTGTCCAAATGCACCCACTCTCCTACCTAACTCCTCCTTTCTACTGTAGTAATCTTAAAAACAATATTTTTTGGTTTTGGGCACACCAGCTGGTGCTTGGGGCTTACTCCTAGCTCTGTATTCAGTGATCACTCATAGTAGGTTCGAGGAATGAAATCTGGGTTGACCCCATGCAAGTCAGACATCTAAACATATCCCACAAACATGCTTTTTTAAAAAAGAATTTCATTCAGGCAAAATGACGCCCGCCATAGCCATGCCACAGGAACCCATGCCAGGCTGTTTCACTCAGGGCATCCCAGAGGGGGGCAGAGGAGAGCCCTCCCGACCTCAAGGGATCCAGCCCTGGCAGTTTAAAACCTCCACAACCCAACTGTCATTATGCTCAAGGCCACTCCCCACACACTCAGGTTGAGCCTCATGCACAAGTGAATTCTGACAAAATCCAGGTATGTGGAACTTTGTGACTTGGGACTCTGGGTTCAACGGGACCAGAAGCAGAGATCCTTTACTTATTTCCCACTGTCTCCTATGACCCAGAGGTCACCTCCATAAGCCATCTCTTTCAGGCACCAGATAATCTCTTCATTGGCCATCATGCATGCATATGGCAGAGCCTTCTCTCCCAAAAGGGAGGAAAATGACACCCGCCATAGCCATGCCACGGGACCCTGCACAGGCTGTTTCATTTGGGGCGCCCCAGAGTGGGGCGAGTGAGAGCCCTCCCCACCTCAAAGGACCCAGCCCTGCCAGCTGAAAACCTCCACAACCCAACCGCTGCCGTGCTCAAGGCCGCTTCCCACATGCTCCGGCTGAACCTCATGCAGGAATGAACCTATTTCTGAACCATGCAGCTACATTCGCAGCTGCACAACACATTATAAGACACTCCCCACCCATTCTCCAAGAGTACCACACCACATTTGATGGAGTTCAAATAGTAGGCAACCAATCATAGAGGGAAAAATATGTATATGCACATATATATGTATATATGTATATATATATATGAAAGTTCACATCACTCAACCTTTATCAACATGTTAGTGATATCCTAAAGAAAGTATTAATGGCCCCTGCAAAATAGAACAATCTTCACACTGTTTCCTCTATGGATACTTTTTGTAACATTTTCAGCATTTTTCATAACAAACAATACAAAATATATTATTTCAGTTGTGCTTTTGGACACAGCTAAGGGGCTTGGAATTGAAGCATCCCAAATATGGTGGTGGGAAGGTGTAATGGTGGTGGGATTGATGTTTGAATGTTATTTGTAATCAAATATTGTAAACTACCATATAAAATTAAAATTAAAAAAAAACGAATTTCATTCTAATTATTTTCTCATTACTTCCTCCAACAGAGTACCTCATTGTCAGAGTGAAAATTTTGCACTGCTTGTTCTCCACTGTTAGATTTGAAGATGGTGACTCTTCCCTTCATTGCTACTGGACATTTCCTTTTTCTCCAGGTGTCCAGCTGGTAGCCAGCAGGGGTCAGTGTTTTTCTTCATGATTTTTATTTGCTGTCATTTCAATGATTTGTTTTGTATTGAAAATATTGTTGTCCAATAGTCTCTACTTTGTACCCTCAAGTGCAGTTATATCCCAAGAAAAACCTTGTTGTTTTGCTGCTAATAGTTTTGAAGTGTCAGGCTAAAAATAGGATGGGTGTCCTTCCCATAAATTCCTTTACTCTACTGGACAAAGTTCATAAAACTCATAACTCTGATACTTGCCTAAATCTTTATTGAGTATATATGATTTTGCCAACTTAATTTTATATAAGTTTGCATAAAATGGTCTTTGTAGTATTTACACTGAGAAGAAAAGACAAATCTTGAGCCAGAGCAGGTAGTGTGCTTTATTATGCAGCCAATCCAGATTCAATCTCCAGCACCAAATATGTTCCTCGAGCACTGCTAGGAGTGATCCTTGAGTATAGATCCAGAAGTAAGCTCT